CTTGAGAAAGTAGAAATATTGCTTATCGCCAGCAACGCTCATGCGACTTAAATAAAAGTATTATGCATTCGCGCTTGCTCAGTTATTGATTTACGTACATATCAATTTATATATGTATGTATGTACATACTTGTATGTATATGTAGGCGTACTCTGTCCATTTGCTTGTTACTTTACCGATCGCTCAAGGCGCTTTTTCGTGCAATTGAAATATTTTTCCTTTCAAACATTTAAGTCGGCTTATGAAATCATGTTTATTTGTACAAATTCTTTGATTTTCGAGTAAAAAAGCTGTCGATTTCTGCTTTGTTGGCCATTTTGTTAGACCATTTGATGCTGAAACTGTTCATCGAAGCATTAAATTAACCCAGAATGCACAATCAATATTATCAATAGGTACTGTCTTTTATTGGTTACGTTACAATTTCGACTTTAAGAGAGATAAGCGCTTGAATTGAGGTTAAGCTCAAGTTCTTATTGCTCTTATTAAACTTTAATAGTCCAAAGAGCAATGAAAGGTTATTGACACAAACATGTAAAATCATCTGTTCTTATATCAACCAAATCCTAAAATTTTTTTATTATTGCTAGAATATATATTTTATGTTGCGGAAAGTTTTTTCTTGCAGTGCATGCTCTTATTTTCTATAAATTGGCACTAAAATCGATAAAAAAAGTTGATTTTGATTGGTCTGTTTGTATGTCAAAAATATTTTCGGTAATAATTCCTGTAAAATTTCGTGAAGTTGTCTTGCCAAATAAAAAAGTTTTCCATACAAGAACTAAATTACGATCGATCAGCTTATATGGCAGCTATATGCTTCAGTATGAGTAGATACTTGAAGAGGAAAGCTCTTGTGCAAAATGTCAGTTCTAAATCTCAAAAATTTAGGGGATAGTTCGCATTCATACAGACAGTCATTTTCAGGCTTAATAAACACAGCCTAACTTGTTAAATAAACTTTAGTAAAATTACAGAAGTCTTATTTTTATCTGTTACTTTAAAAAAAAATCTGTTCAACTGTGGTGAAACCCCATTCTCCAACTCTTTTTACAATTATCTTATGTTTTTTGCCATTAAAGTTGGTGCTCATAAATTATGACAAGTGCTGCCATGTAAATCAGCGTTGTCAATTAAAATTGTTTACAAGGTTTTCATATGAAATAGTCTCTAGTGAAACAGAAGCATAAGAAGCACATATTTGTATATGCATCAATAAACAGTGCAACATATCAAGAATTGTAAACTGACTTCCTCATGCGATGTAATGAAAGTTAATATGACAAGTGGCTGAAGTGTTTATGCAAACAAGTATTTGTATGCATGTGGCTTGTAAGAAAAGGAATATGAATGTATATAGACTTCTTTTAATAAATCCACAGTGAAATGTCAAGTTAGATGAAGACTAGTTTATAACTAACCATTATTGCATTAGCAAAAAAAAAACATTAATCTGGATTTTGGCTCAAATTGAACTAGTGAAAAAATAATTGAGTTTCTTCTTCTTCTTTAATGGCGTTTATAGACGAAAATAATAGCTTTCCATTAATAATGGCTGAGTGAGAGTGAATTAGTACAAAAAGGACAATATAATATGCTAATAATCACCATAATCAGAAACATTAAACTAGGTAAAATAGGCTAACTAATCCAATGACTAATATTTTATAACTAGTACAGAAGTAGTACAAAACGGACCATATAAAATCCCAATTATTACCATAATGAGAAAGAACAAACTGGGTAAAAAGCTAACTAGTTATTTAACTAATATTTTATAACTAGTAATTAATTATAGTAAATGAACTAGTCCGAAAAACACTATATTTAAACCATGTTATGGAACGGGTTTATATTAAGCTATTGTGAATTTGAATGCATCAATATAATAGTATACGGTTTTTTCTTACTTTTTCGCAAACAAGCGGGTGATTTTGGTTCATAATTCAACTTAACTTGTTTCTTTACATCTCTCTCTTGAACTTGTTAAATTTTAGATCGAAATCGATATTTGGGAAAAAATAGTATTGGTGTCTAGTTGCGACCACGGCTCATATTATATTAGCAAGTTTCATTAAAGTTTACCTAACTATTTCACTACTGGCTACTTCAACGCGCTAATATATAGTTTTAATTTTAAAATTTATGTTCAACGAATTTGAGTTTCTGAATACAAATTGCACTAAAACAAATGCTCACAGAAGAAACGTGCTTATATACCCCTATATATCACCATTTCAAGTTTTTACAGTGTTCATTTCCACGAAATATTGCTTAAATTGCAGCACAGCAAGCTGTTTGCACTTATGCTTTTCTATCGGCAATCGATGACTCGTGTTTTTGAATGTGTAAAAATCGGTTATGCGCAATTGAGATATTATTATTTCCAGACAAATGAAGTGTAATTAATACGGACATTGCAATAGCAGTGAGTGCATAATTACAAAGTAATCTTGCTTTTACTATAAATAAATGTTTTTTCTAGACAAATGCACCTGTCAGTTTGTAGACTACTAATGTTAGCCGCTGATAGTTAGAGAAAATTTAAGTATTGTAATGACTGGATGTTACATAAATTATATAATACAGAAAATTCGCATAGGAATATGAATATATAAATTAATTTTGAACTCAAAAAAGACCTGAGCTACGTGCTGTTAACAAATTTTGAACGCCTTCACGCAACCGATGCCTCGCTAACTACGATAAATATGTAGACTTTATAGACAAGTGTCTCAAATTGCGAAAACATTTATTCATGCAATACTTAGCACGCAACGGCAAATCAGTTAATCGCGTGTGCCGGACATATTTGCGGCGTAACTTGGCATTTTATTTTTTTTATACTTGGCGATCGTGTCACAAATCGATCAAATGTCTTCAAAGAAATGAAAAAATAAATTA